AATTTTGAACGACATACTAACCTATGACTTTTTTGGAAAATTTTGAACTGCATGCTTACCAATTACTTTTTTTTAGATGATTTCGGGCGACATTTTGACAAAAAAAGTCATAAGTTAGTATGCCGTTTAAAATGTGATAAAAACGTAATAAATCTGTTTAAATGTGCAGTTTTGTTTTCCTTTCTTTGAGGAAAAGATAATGAATCCGAATTACAGAGAGCACAGGCAAAAAAGTTATCCTCAACATTCACTTAGAAAACATGTGAAACTGTGATAATAGAGTAAGAATAATATATATCATCATCCATAGTATGATTAATCAAAGTTACGCAAAGCGGATCCTGAGTGAGGCTGTAAAACTGAGGCTCAAGGTTTTAGAAAATCTGGAGAAAGTAAATTTTTGTTATGGAAACACTTTGATTTCTCTCTCTATCTCTCTCTGTCTCTCTCTATCTCTCCCTGTCTCTCTATCTCTCTCTGTCTCTCTCTGTCTCTCTGTCTCTCTCTATCTCTCTCTGTCTCTCTGTCTCTCTATCCCTCTCTATCTTTCTCTATCTCTGTCTGTCTCTGTCTGTCTCTGTCTGTCTGTCTGTGTTACGCCTGGGTGCTAGGGGGCGCTGTGGTTTACCGACGCCTCCCCTTGTTGACGGAAGAACGTCGGTCTCGTCTCTCTGTCCAATCGCAAGCGTCGTTGTTGGGAGGTGGTTCGTGGAGAAGGTGACTTTTCGACGTCGTCTCGGGTAGAAACACAGAAACCAGAAGCTCCGGAGCGTCAGAGCAGCGGCGGCGGTTCAGTCCAACATGTCTTCTTTGCAAAGGACGCTGGGAGTTCTGCGGATGAGCTCCCGGCTGCTCCGCCGCGGGCCTCAGAGAGCCAGCATCCGAAAGTAAGTCTCCATCACCCGGGGCTGTGCGCTAGCTGCTGTAGCAACAACAACATGCTAACACGTCTGCTACATGACAGAAAACAACGATGTGTGTGAATGTTTACATGAACCGTGTCTGAACTCCTCAGGGGCAGCGGGGGGCCTCACATCGAGCCGCAGTACAGACAATATCCGCAACTGACCAAGAACCAGCGCTTCCAGTCGGAGCTGCTCAGCGGAGCCATGTGGTTCTGGATCCTGTGGCACTGCTGGCACGACGCGGACGCGGTCCTGGTGAGTGAACACCACACTGAGTCTCAGGGTGTCTTTCCAAACGAACTCACGTCTCTATTCACCGTCTGAAGAACAAAGTGCAGCAGAATAACTTTCGTTCTGTCTCGTCCAGGTGAGACAGTGAGATTCAGGTGAAAGAAATGTAATGGAGAATAATCCTCAGGATGTTGTCATTAGTTCGTTTCATCTAAATTGTACGAATTGTAGTTTTCTTTACGCCAGATTTACCCTTT